TGATCAGGGCCGCGTTCTCGTCCTTGAGGCGCTGGTTGTCAGCCCGGAGGTTGGACAGGCCCTTCAGCTTCTCTTCCAGCTCAGCGGCCTTGTGCTCCAGGGCCCCGCGCTCGAATCTCTCCAGCTCCAAGAGGGCCGGCCTCTCTGCAAAGCACTCCTGCCTCTGCATGGCGCACTCCAGCTCCACCTTGAGCTGCGCCAGCCGCAGCGTGGTCTCCGTCAGGGCCTCACGAAGTCTCTTGTTCTCAACGCGCAGCTCTGCGTAGAGCTTCCTGAAGCCGCCATCATCCGGCTCCGATTCTGGTTTGGGTTCCGGGTTGAGGGCGGGCGGCCTCCGGGGGGAAGGGCTGGCCTTGGGGGTGCTGGATTCTGGGCTGATGTCCGCGGGCTTGGCTTCCTCCCACTCCGCAGGCCCTCTCCTCTCCTTGCCAACTCTGAGGTGCTCCCTGGAGGCCTGTGGTCCCTGTCCCTGCCTGTCAGGCCCCTCTACTCTCTGGGCAGGGCCATCAGAATTCTCAACCCCAGGGACTCGGGGCTGCCAGGAAGGGTCCAGGCTCTGTGTGCATGACTTCTCCAGCTCTGGAGCCTTCCCTGCCACCTTCTCTGCTTCCTTCGGGTCTGTCAGAGTCATGCCCTGTGTGGACCTCCGAGACTGGCACATGAGGCGAGAGCGAGCTTTCCACTGGGATTCTGACTCCTCCTCGCGCACAGGCATCTGGTAGGACCTCCGGCGGTCCCGAGAGTCCGCTGGGGGCGCTGTGGAGGCGGCAGGGACAGCTGGCTTCCCTGGGGCTTCAGGCTCCGGGCAAGAGGGCTCTGGCACCTTCCAGGAGGGAGTGGGGGTGATTCTGGCAAGACGGGGCTCCTTGGCCTGAGTGGCGGTCCCTTCCAGCAGTGAGGAGGAAGCTGAGCGCTGAAGCCCAGCCCCAGGGGCACCCTCCGCCCCCTGTCTGTCTTCTGGAGGCCAAAGCGCCTAGAGAAGGGGACCTCCTCGGAGGTTGAGGGGCCTTTAGGGCTGGGGGGTGGTGGGGAGGACACTCCATTGAGGGTCCTGGTTTCTGCAGGGGGTGGCTCTGTGGGGCCTTCCTCTCGCTCGTCGTCATCATCCCAGATGAGGGGTCCCCCTGCCCCCCCAGGCCGGCGCTCCTTGGACAAGTCCTGGAGGGAGATCTTCTCTCGTCTGCTCAGACACACGGAGCTCCTTCGGTGTTTGCTGCTGGAGGGCACCTGGGGCTCCGGGACCCGGCTCTGGGAGGCAGCCTTCTGGTTCCGCAGGTCCTCCTGCTTCTGGGCCAGCTCCTCCAACAGTCTGCTCTAATCTTTATTATCTCCTTTCTTCTGCTCACTCTGGGCTTTTCTTGTTGCTCTGTTTCTAATTCTTTGAGCTGTAGATTTAGATGATTTATTACCATTTTTTCTTGTTTTTTGAGATAGGCCTGTAGAGCTATAAACTTCC